CCTCCTCCCCCTATCGCTACGTCCTCGTCCTCCGTCACGGCCCCCTCTCATCCTCCCTCACGGCCCCCTCTCGCTCGCACGAAATCCTCCCCCTAGCACGACCTCCTCCTTCCCCTGCCGCATGACCTCCTGCAACCTCTCGTCCCCAGCGTGTAACCTGCTCCTACCACTCCCACGACCCACTCCTCCCCCTTGCACGGCGTCCTCCTCCCCCTCGCGCGACCTTCTCACCCCTCTCTTCCGACCTCATCCAGCTCCTCCCTCCTGACACCACCTCCTCCCGCTCATGTGTCCTCGTCCGGCCTCCTCAAACCACTCGCGCGACCTCCTCCAACCTTCCTTCCGACCTCCGCTGCAACCTCTTGTCCTCCTCGTGCGACCTACTCCTCCTCATCTTCCGGCCTCCTCCTCTCCCGTGTGCCACCTCCTCTTCCCCCTTGTGCAACCTCTTGCTTGTCCTTGTGCAAACTGCTCCTCCCCCTCCCACTCCATCTTCCGATCTCCTCCTCCCCCTAACGCAACCTCCGTGCGACCTCCTCCCCCTTGCGCTACCTCCTCCTACCCCTCGCGCGACCCCCTCCTACCCCTCGCGCGACCCCCTCCTACCCCTCGCGCGACCCCCTCCTCCCCCTCGCGTGCGGCTTCCTCCCTCTCTTCCAACACTCCTCCCCTCGTGCGACCTCCCCCTCCTCCCCCTCGCGTGCTACTTCCTCCCTCTCTTCCAACACTCCTCCCCTCGTGCGACCTCCTAATCCTTGTGCGACCTCCTCCTCCCCCTCACGCGTCCTCTTCCCCCTCCTCATCCACCTCGCACGACCTCCTCCTTGTGCGACCTCCTTCTCCTCCTCGTGCCACCTCCTCCGATCTCTCTTCCTACCTCCTCCCCCTTGTGCGATGTCGTCCTTCCCCTCTTCCGACCTCCTCCTCCTGTTTGCACAACCTCCTCCTCCCCCTCGCACGCCCGCCTCCTCCCACTCTCCGACGGCGCCTGAAAAGTAGCATGCGAAAAAAAAAGAAAGGAACGACTGCGTTTGTCTGCTCCCTTCCAAGTGCGAGGCACGTGGCAGCGAGTCCGCCTGGGCCCAACGCGACGTGCTGAGCTTTCATCTGTTTTCCGTACGCACTTCCGTTTTCAGCACGGCGCACGGCAGCGAGCCCACCTGGGCCCAACGCGACACGCCCCTCCGATTTACAGCGAGAAGACCAGCGCGCGGCGTGGGCCCGACGTTTCGCGCGGCACCGAATTTCCTTGGGCGGCACCCAACGTTTCACGTGGCTCCGAATTTCCTTGGGGGGCACCGAATTTCCTTGGGCCCGCTGGGAAGCATCGGGCCCTCTACAGTTTTTAATAGTATAGGGATAGGGAAGGGAAGGGATAGGGAAGGGATATAGGGATACATACACTACCGAGAAATAGGGCAGAAAGGCCACTCGAGTGGATAGAGTAAATCAGCAGGCTAGCTAGAGGGGACGCCTTTGGCAGTGTTTTGTTAGAGTCCGGATCTATCTAATCCTGTTTGCTTCCCATGCTTTCGCACCTCAGCATCAGTAGAGACCCAGAAAGCTGCCTTTGCTTTTGGTGTCCCTTCTAATGTCTATGAACTTTATTTATCTCTACACTCGAAATTTCCACTTTCCTCTATCTTACTCCACTCAACCAGTTTTGAAGGCATTCCACCAGTTGAGCTGGCGACTTTCACCGCTTCGCACCTAATTCACCGCCTACACAGATCGGCTCTCCTCATCATCATCACCATCATCATCAAGCACAGATCGACTCTCCTCCCCCTCATGATGATCATCATCATCAAGCACAGACCGTTATCGTTAGCATCTCGGTTCTCCTCCTCCTCATCATCCTCATCAGCAGCAGCAGCAAGCACAGATCCTTCTCTTAATCAACCATCACTGATGATCATCGCGACCTGTACTGGTTCTCAACCATTGATATCGTTTCTACCATTGTCAATCGCAGTCAAATGCCCTCATATCTATCCTCCTCCTCCTCCTCCTCGTTTTTCTCCTCCTCTTCCTCCTCCACCTCCTCCTCCTCCTCCTCTTCCTCTTCCTCCTCCTCCTCCTCTTCCTCCTCCTCCTACTCCTCTTTCCCCTCCTTTTTCCCTCCTCGTCCTCCTTGTTTCCCTCCTCCTCTTTCTCCTCCTCCTCGCTTTTCTCCTCCTTTTTTTCCTCTTCCTCCTCCTCCTCTTATTCCTCTTCCTCCTCCTTTTGTTTTTCCTCTTCCTCCTCCTCCTCTCTTCCTCTTCCTCCTCCTTTTGTTTTTCCTCTTCCTCTTCCTCCTCCTCCTCTTCTTTATCCTCCTCCTCCTCCTCTTCCTCTTCCTCCTCCTTTTGTTTTTCCTCTTCCTCTTCCTCCTCCTCCTCTTCTTTATCCTCCTCCTCCTCCGCTTTCTCGTCGTCTTTGTCCTCCTCTTCCCTACCATCATTTCTTTTATTTTTCCTTTCTGTTTCTCTCTCCTTTATAGATCCCCATCGGCGTTCTCCTCATTTGTTTGTGTTTCCCAACCTTTTGAAGACATCCTCAGCCGATGCAAGCAACTTTTTTCTTAATAAGTTGCAGAGCCCCCCCCCCAAAGGACATGCTTTCCGGATGATAAGCACATAAGCCCTTTGCCTCAAGAAAATTATTATGGATAAAAAAATAACAAAGACAAAAAAAACAAAGAAGCCATGGACACCCTACACTCGAGCCGGGAGGAAACAACTTTTAGAAACTTATAAATGAACGGCATTAGGTCCTCGCTCCACTACACAACACTCTATCGGGACCGTATTGTGTCCAACATGCATTCTGATTGATCAAACATCTCGAATGCATCAGGACCATTATCAGTTCCAGATGCACTCAAACGTTCAAGTAGTGGAGCGACCCCCTCAGAATGAAAAATACTGGACTGCAAAAAAAACTTCATCGGACAGATACATCAATCACCAAAATTGTCTAAATTTCTCTAAAAAATATACTTTTCGAGAAAACGACAAAAAAAAACCCTCGTAGTTATCATACGACAATTTGAACATCCTCTCCCCTCTTTCCCTCCCTCCCAACGACTCCACACCCCCCCTCTCTCCCTAAAACCTCAAAAGTAGGGTTCATAATATATATTGTCACACTGTAAATCAGAGCGCGAAAGCGGGAAAATGCAAAACAAGGAAAGGAAAAGAAGGAAGGAAGGAAGGAAGGAAGGAAAGCCCCACCACCTGCTCATCACCTCTTACGTACAAGGCCAGCCACGTGGATGACAGGTTGAGCGCTGGCTGCCCCCATCCCCGTGTGTCACAAGGACCCACTTGCACGCAGCCAAAAGGCAAAAAAGAGGTAAAGAAGTAAGGAGGAGGAAACCCAACCTGACAGGGAAAGAAAGATAATCCAATTGCCACAAAGCAAATAACACATCCCACAGATCAACATATCTTTTCTTTTTTCTTTTTTTCTTTTTTTCTTTTTTTCTCTTTTTTTCTTATTTTCTCTTTTTTTCTTTTTTTCTCTTTCTCTTTTCTTCTTTTTTTCTTTACCTGTCCCCACCTCGGCAGATAGGACAGCTACGGTGAGGATGATGTGGATGTTCACAAGGATGCCCAAGGAGAGCTGCGCCAGCACAGCATTCAGCAGGACGGCTAGCACGAACCATCCCATCAAAACAGTCCTGACAGAGGACATGTTGTCCACATGTCAAAAAAACAGCAGGACGTTCATCACAGTGCGGCATCATACAGTTCTGATAGCGTCCTGGGCACAAAAGGGACAACGTATATCTGGGTGGTTCATAATATATATTGTCACATGATATCAGAGCGCCTAAGCGAAAAAACCAAAAAAACAAAAAAATCTTAAATTCGTTTTTAATCTTCTTCCTTACAACTCCCCCTGTTCAGAACCTCTTGCGTACAAGGCCGCCCACGTGGATGTAGGTTGAGCGGCGGCTGCCCCCACCCCCGTGTGTCATATCGACCCACTTGCACACAGCCAAAAGGCAAAGAGGCAAAGAAGAGAGGAAGGGAACAGCCAAATGAAACAAATAGAACAGAGGGAAACAAGACAGATCCCAGATGACAAGTCCCACATGCAAGCACCGCCCGCTCCGTCAAAGGCCAAACAACGGGACAACACCACCCAGGACAAGACATAAAAAAGCGACGATCCACAGTGTGACAACCAAGAAAAAAAGAGAAGACAATCCCGGATGACGATTCCCACATACAGGCACCGCCCCGCCTCTCAAAGGGCCGAACAACGGGAAACAACCAACCAGGATGCCAAAAACCCGAATGACCGTGCAGTCGTGGCTAATAGGCTCCCTACCTCTAGCGTCATGACCCCCTTAACACAAAATAATGTTTGGGGTGCTCATGATTATTTGGCTTTTTTTTTGTATTTTTTTTACCCTTTTAAAAAAAAAAAAGTTTTTCTTTCGATGTAGGCACTACCTTGTTTGTTCCAGACGGGTGGGACGTTCTTGGGGGGGAGGGTAGAGGTCCCACCTTGGGGGGGAGGGTAGAGGGAACTAGGGTCTTTTGGGGTGGAGTTGGGCAGGGGGGGAGTGAGTGAGGGCGGGGGTTCTGTTTTGATTGTTGGCGTCTGCTCTTTCATTGATCGGTGGGAAGTTTGGGTCAATTGGGGTTTTGGAGTTCGAGGGTTTATGCTTTTTTTTCTTTTTTAAAATCTTCTGCGTTTTCGCTCTATCTTTTTCTTTTTCTATCTTTTTCAATTCTTTCTTATAATTGTTTTTTTGCTCCAGTTTTTCATGCACTTCGATCCTTTCGACCGTGGGCGAGGTCCCTCTAGCACAGAGGATTGGATTTGACGCCTGAATCTGGACTTGTTCGTGGAGAGGTGCATAAAATCGCAATTGGTCTGCTTTTCTGCATCTCTGCATAAAACACGTTCAGATTCATGCTCTTAATCCAACCCTCATTGCTACTAGTAGCAGGACCTCGCCGCGTGTGATTGTACTTCTCACCCTTGTTGCCACCTAAGCAAGCTCGTTCAGATTCATGCGCTTAATACAACCCTAAAACACGTTCAGATTCATGAGCTTAATCCAACCCTCTTTGCTCGCTAGACCAAAAGCGTTTAAACAAAACAATCGACGAAAATAATTGGCCTTCTGTTAATCAGCAAGTTCGTACAGACTTACGGCAGCAGAAAATTATACTATAGTAATTTCTTATGAGATGCATCTGGACCAGATTTTCGGCAAGTTCAGCTCCCCACCACTGAGTAGAAAAAAACAAGAAAAAATGAGTAACGAATGAACGAATGTGTCTATCAATCGATCCAATCACCCAACCAATCAACCAATCAACCAACCAATCAACCAACCAGTCAACCATTCAGCCAACCAATACGTCTATCAATCGATCCAGTCAACGAATCAATCAACCAATCAACCAATCAATCAATCAACCAATCAACCAATCAACCAATCAACCACCCAGGCAATCAACCAATCAACCAATCAATCACCCAGGCAATCAACCAATCAACCAATCAATCACCCAGGCAATCAACCAATCAACCAATCAATCACCCAGGCAATCAACCAATCACCCAATCAATCACCCAGGCAATCAACCAATCAATCACCCAGGCAATCAACCAATCAACAAGCCAATCAATCAACCAACCAATCAATCAGCTAATCAATCAAGCAGCCAATCAATCAAGCAACGAGTCAATGAATACACCACACACTTGTACATGTTGATTGATGAGGGGGACACCGTTCAATTAATCAACAAACTAATCAATCAATCAATCAACCAATCAATCAAGCCGTATCATTCTTGAATGAAGTACGGTCTCATTCTTCAAGAGCGGACCCCGTTTTTCTCATTACCACAAAAAAAAGAATACGCCGAAGAAAAAAATCTCATTTGCCCCTCCTCCGCCCACCAACACCTTCTATCCCCCCCCCCGCCCCCCCTTTTGTTCCCTGAAAATAACTGAACAAATCACATTCCAAATCCGACCAAGTACACCGCACACGTGCTCTATTCGAAAAACATGTCATCCGACTCTGCTTCAAGATGAGACAAAACGACTTTTCGTTTCTTCGAATCCATTCCCGTCTTGACCTCGTTCATCCGCTTCGGCTTCTTCTTCTGTCCATCACCCTCTCTCTCCCCTCCTCTCTCCACATCACCCACATCTTCTTTCACTCCTTCCCCCCCCTCTTCATCACACATTCCCTCCTCCGTTCCTCCCTCCTTTACCCTTCCTCCTCCTCCTCCTCCTCCTATTCCTCCTCCTCCTTCTCCTCCTCCTTCTCCCCCTCTTCCTCCCACTCCTACTCCTCCTCCTTCACCCCCTCTTCCTCCTGCTCCTCCTCCTCCTCCTTCACCCCCTCTTCCTCCTGCTCCTCCTCCTCCTCCTCCTAGTCCTCCTACTGCTCCTTCTACTGCTACCCCTGCTTCCAGGACTGATGCTACGTTGGCACTCCCACCTTGAACACCTCCACCTCCTCCTCCCATCTCCATCGATCTGTCATTTACTATAACCCCCCCTCGAGGGGAACGGCTGCCACTCATTGGGATTGCCGATGACGGCGAATCCTGGGGACGGCTTCGATCTCCTCCCTGCGAACCATCTTGCTGCGACAAGACTCGGGCATCATCCCCATCCCGATCCCGATCCCGATCTTCGCCCTCGTTGCCTAGCTCCCTCTCTTTGCCTCCTTCCTCTCCGACCTCCATTCTACAAGCAGCCCCCGATCCCGACTCCCGCTCTCGACCTAATCCATATTTGCCTTCACCTTCAGCATTCACCATTTCACGACGCGACATCAACTCTCCTCCTCCTCCTCCTCCTCCTCCTCCTCCTCCTCCTTCGTTTCCTCCGCCGCCGCCGCCATCGCCGTCTGCTGTCGGTGTTGTCGTCGTAACCGTCAGTTTTTCGATGTCGTCAACGGAATTCCCCATGGAACTTGCTTGTTGTCTTCGTCTTTCCGTTGATGACGGCGCCGCCGCCGCCGTCTTTTTCTTTCTTGAGGGAGCATTCTGTTGCTCGGCGATTTTCTCTGAGAGGATTCTACGCACCTGGTCGCTTCGACAAGTTTGCAAAGCCGTTTGTCCTTTCCTGTTGACGGCATCCACGTCAGCACCCTTTCGAAGCAACATCATCGCCGCCTCCACGTGGCCTCCCTGAGCGGCCAGATGCAGAGGCGTCAGGCCTTTTCGATTCTTGGCGTTCGCTTTGGCCCCCGCAAGCAGCAGCCATCTCAGGACCCCACAGTGGCCCTTCTGACTTGCGAAATGGATGGCTGCCATGTCATCGGCCGCCGTGGCGCCGACCGCTGCTCCTCTCTCACACAGCAACCGCACCACCTCCTCTTGCCCCGCCCAAGAAGCGAGATGAAGCGGAGTGCGGTTATGGCGGTCGCGCTCGTTCATGTTCACCTTCTCCTCCATAAGTAGCTTCGTCACTGCCTCGACGTCTCCTACACGTGCCGCGCTGTGCAGATCCATGCTGAAGAAGAAGAAGAAGAAGAAAGAAGAAGAAGACGATGACGAGGATTGATGACGATTCCGATCCCGACGTTCGTCAGACTATGTCACACTAATTACTAGGAATTATTAGAATTACGAAAAAGGGAAAAAGAAAGGGAAAAAGAAAGGGGAAAAAAAAGGACAAAAGAAGAAGGACGGCAGTCGGATGAGGATGAGGATGAGGATGCCAATCTAGGAAAGAAAATCAGCCGAACGTCGGGATCGGAATCCTCCAGTTGTTGGGATTGGCGTCAGCCGGCCACGTGGCAGACAGGCAACCGAAGCCACGCGGCGTGGGCACATATACGAAGGCCAGTCTTCGCTGCTTCAGCGGCGGAGTTAGCGATAATCGACATAATGTATGATGCTCATCAAAGGCGGGACGATACTGAAAAGACTAAACGGAAAAAAAAAGTACAAAACGACAAAAACAGCTGGCGACAAATGCAATGCACCGGGACCGAGATCTGGACCCTGCGCACGTTGCTGCTTCCTCTCGTCGCCAGACTCACTTGAGTGCTTACGTGTCGTGCCCCATGACACGCCGTCAATATCGTTTGCGAGGTGATGAAAAGGGTTTTAGGGTTTTTCTTGGGTCATTCCAGTTTTGTTATCTCACTTGAGTGCTTACGTGTCGTGCCCCA